TTTTTTTACTAGCTCCTCTCAATCTTCTTCAGCCTTTGAATCCTCACTCCGCCACTGGGTGAGGCAGAGTGCACCAATTTAAGGAGCAACTTTAAAGGCACATTGAACCTGTGCTGTGAATACACTTAGAAATCCTTAGTGCTAAGGGAGGAATTACTTCTACCCAGGCTTCCCTTCCCATCATCCAAATTATAAAACACTACAAAATAAAAAGCAGATGCAGGGATAGGTACTGCACTAACTGAATTCTGAATTCCATTGCTGTTTTCCTGGAGCTACCCTTTGAGCATGAGAGCTTTGGCCAAGAGGGTCACCAAGCTGACATGAGACAGGTTCATGGCAGTGACAGAGAAAAGCATTTAATGAATACCAGAAAACCTACATCTTTGTAGTTAGTTTTATAAATTGGTTTTATGAATAAGAGTCTTCAAGAGTAGACATATTGTTCCTACCAAAAAGTAAAATTGATTCTAGGTTCTTTTCTCTTTTTATTTTGTTGTCAAGCTCTATCTTTAAGGCATATACCTTGAAGCTAGGACCTGTGTTGCACTGTGAATTTCCTTTAACGATAAGCGGAAATACCAGAGGACCGCCACCTGTGCCAGATAAGCTCTTTAAAGAAGAGAGAGTAAAAGAAAAAAAGAAAAACTACTGAAGATTACACCCACAGAGTTATTCACAAGAATGGTGCAAATGCCTGGTGCCAGGTGTCTAGCTGCAAGTGACACCTACCCTGTGCTGCACTCTCAGGGAAACAGCATAGCCTGCATTACGAAAGAGGTCTACAGCATCCTGGTGCAGCAGGTTCTTTAGGTCTTGACCATTTACCTGCCAAAAACCGTAAGAAAGAGTAGTAAGAGAAGCAAAAGACTAACTTTCATAAGTCAACAATTTACTTTCTTATGGCCTTTAAAAAACAAACTTTATATTACTAATCCTTGACATTGCCAGCTTCAACTCTAGAAATGTCTCTATGAAACTCTCCCACAACTTATTCTGACATGGTGTAAATAGCCCATTCTATTGGGTTTGTTCTATTGTGAACAATTTATGAATACTCCTATCCTCCTCAAATTTGCTAAAAACTGTATTTCTTTGACAGTCAACCCTTAAAAAATACTTCAGTGTCGGTCAATCCTACCACTTACAGGTAAGAGATGTTAAGGAATACTGGTATTAATATGTTTTGGTATTAGGAGTGACACTGGCACAGGTGATATCTATCTTATGCTGCACTCAGTGACACATCACAGCCTCATGTATAAAAGATGAGTAATCTTGCATAAGAGTCAATGTCACCATCAGCAGCAAAAGCAGCGAGAACATCTATTTATTTTAATAGGTTCTGTGCTACACATATATTACCTAATTTCATTCTCACAAGAACCCCATGAAGTAGAGGCTATTTTTTATCATTTGCACAGAGGTAGAAATTAAAGCTTAGTGTGATTACCAAGTATAGGGGCTAGGGCTAGGGTTTTTGAATAATGGAAGGAAGATCAAAGTGCCCTTGCATTTCACTGTTCCTTCTTCACTATTATTCCTCCACCTTGACTCACCAACCATCCTCTGCTCAGTTGAAACTCAAGCTGTTGACTTAGTCAACACTCATCTTCCCAGTCATGATCTTTCTTCTCTAAGAGGTTCATAATCTTCCCTCCACTCTATCTCCTGCTAATATCCTTGGTGAATGAATCTAGCAACACTTTTCCCTTACAGACTGTCTACCTTCTCAAATTAGTAGTTTACAGTTCCATTCCACTTCACTCACCATTGACATAAACTTAGTTTTCAACATCAGACATGCTTCAGCTTCAATATATCAAACTCTTAAAAACCTGGCCATGGGCTGGCCCAGTGGCGCACTCGGTAGAGTGCGGCGCTCCCGCCGAGGGTTTGGATCCCACATAGAGACCGGTCCGCTCACTGGTTGAGCG